ATTTAAAATTAAAATCCATTGCTGAACAAATTTTGATCACATTACAAGGAACCCATGGATTTCTTTTATTCTACTGCTACAAGAAAATTGGATGGTGCATTTAAAAAAATATCATACAATGCACAAAATGGCAAGCAGCTGTTCTGGCGCTCTCATTTATATTGAATTTTAGAAAAATATAATGCCTCAAGGCATGGACAGCTTCATATTATAACAAACTATTTTGAGCACATGTATCTTAAAAGGCTGTGTGTAAAGTAGTCACCACTGACCAAGTAACCACCACTCTAAAGTAGCAACCAGCTCACTCCTGTGATGGACTATGATTTCAATTTTCAATACAAAATTAGTAAACTAAACACGAGATTATAGACTATCATAGGAGTGAGCTTGAAGCGGTGGCTACTTAACAACACACTCAGGGATCATTGGGAACACAGGTAGCCACCCTCCAGAAGGAAGTACAGTGTCAGCACCAACTCAGAGATGATTTGAGGATCTACAGCCAAGTGATACACAAATAAGATACATTTTTGTTAATATGTACTTGAATGTATTTTTAAAAGGGATGCACACATACTGGGTTTTTCAGTATCTAGTACCGATGTTTTTTTTTCCCCCGGTACTCGCCGATACCAAATACAAACACCAGAAGTACCATTAGGGAAGCCGGGCGGTGTGTAATGACTCGCCGCCCGGCTTCCTGATTAGCCGGGAAGATGTCTTCATGCTCCCTCGTCACCAAGTGACGAAGAAGGATGGAGCTGGCTTTCAGACCAATCAGGAAGCCGGAGGGCGGGCAATGACTCATCTACCAGCTTCGTGATTGCTGGGGCTTAGAGCCGGAGGGACAGTCAATTCTCCAAGCAGCCATCCTTCGTGTCCTACCCGACTCCGGAGGTGAGTGAGCAGGGGGCAGCCCCTGACTCAGTGCCAGCATCGTTCTCCTTCTCATGTTATAATTTGAGCAGATATATCTATATAGGACACACACACATATATAGAAATAAGACAAGCTTATATTTGCTTGTCTTGTATATATTTTGTTAGTCCAATAAGAAAGGTATCATTGCACACTGCAATACTGCGTTTTTGTCTTTTTTGACATCTTGTCTACTGGACTAATACGGCTTGGTTTACAAGTAACTTGGTTTGAGAGTGTTTTGCAAGACAAGCAAATATTTCTGAGAGATTTTGCCTTGATATACAAGCAATGTCTTGCAATAAGAGCAACATTTTGTAGAAAAGCACCACCCGAATAAGGCTGTAGCAGTGCGAGCGATGAGTCTGTTTAACGACAATGCAATGTCACATTGGATATATTCCTTGTTAAGGTTTCACGAAATGAAAAAGATTCCATTGAGGAAAGAGATAGCAGTGATTCCGTTAGCGATAGTGAAAGTCGTCCTACACAATAATCCTCCTCTCTCTTGTCCCCCTCACACCAGCCACGAAGGTACCTGTAATTGTTTTTTTTTCTTTATATTTTATACAGTATTATATTACCGTACAGTATTGTAATCATTTTATATGAATATTTTTGGGTTGTGGAACGAATCATCTGAACTTCCATTATTTCCTATGGGGAAATTCGCTTTGATATACAAGCGCTTTGGATTACAAGCTTGCTTCCGAAATGAATTATGCTCGTAAACCAAGGTCTCTCTCTCTCTCTCATTAGTGTGATCAGCAATAGGAAGAAGAAAGAATGAGGATTACCAAATGATTGAGACAGCCAGAGTAAATATTTTTTTTACACCCCCTTGCCTATCCAACAAATCTATTCTCACTGATGATCATAAAACGCAAAATAGGGGGAAATGCCAAAAGTGGAAATAGTATTTTTACTTTACATTGATGGTTAATGGAAAGGTGAATACAAACATGCTCCCTTACACAAGGGGAAGAAGAAAGCCCTTATGTAGGAGGATGAATAGGAAGAGGGAAGCCCTTATGTCCAAGAAGAGTTGGAACCCCTCACATCGGGGGGACAGTGGGTGGAAGGAATCATCTTCTGTCGGGGGTCAGTTGGAGAATGCACCAATTACACTGGGGGGTCAATAGAAGGATTACCTGGTTAAGAAGGAACCCCTTATGAGGGTTAGTGGGAGAATGAACATCTTACATTGAGGGTTAATGAAAAGAAAGACCTCCTGGTCGTGAACAACTTAAGACCAACTACAGTAAACTCCCAGTTAACTGGCACCCACGGGATCGGTAGATGTCGAATCACTGTCGTTTCTGGTTGCTTGAGAGTTAATATTAACTCTCATACAACCACATCCCCAACCCCATTCCCCTTTCTCACTCAGGTCCACTCCTCTGCTCATTGACAGCAGGCAGTGGGTGGGTACAATAGCAAGCCTGCTATTGCAATTTAAAATAGCCAATAGCAGGCTGGCTATTGCTCCCTCCGACTGCCTGTTTACATTCAGCTGCCAAATCTAGCCGCTAGCCAGCAGCAACATGTAAACAGAGAATTGATAGTTGCTAACATTTTGTGTGCACGTCTGTCAAACAACTGGCAAAAAATAATAATTAAAACATTTTTTGGGGGGGACACTCCCTTAATTTGTTTTTAATTTGGTAGCTCGAGAGTGCCGGTTACTTGAATGCCAGATAATGGGGAGTTTACTGTACCATCAAATCCATGACAACCCACTGAGGTTCCCTTCCAGTGACCCGTGTAGAAAAGTCTGACTGCGGCTCTTTTAGCGGCTGAAAAGCTCTAACATTTTTAGGCTAAAGAAATACCCGTGACATACTTCATCATTTCTCCTAGAATAAAAATCAAAACTTTGTGCGCCAAGGAAATGTTTTTAAAACTGTCAGTATGAGCGTTTCCTTTTATTACGCCTACCTACGAGCTTTTCTGACAGGCTTCGGAGAGGCTATGCATGGCAACAGGAATGTCATTCAAAAGAAGCTTCTATGTAAAACACTGCGCTGTATTGTAACGTGCTGGAGACCATGGAACACAAGGGATTCCACTGATACATGTTATTTAACCCTTTAAAGGAAGTTTACCGTTAGGCTTTCTTTGTTGCTTACTTAACACTCAATTTTAATTTAAGTTTAATTCATCTAAATGAATTCCAGTTGTATTGAAAGAAAAAAAGGAATTCAATGTCTGTACAGTTCATTCTCTTTTTAAACCTGCCATATCCTGAATAGAAAAGCCTGTCCCTTCTAACAGCTGCTGTAGGGCCCTTTCTGTGTGTGCAAGCAGTGGTCTCCCTGCAGAGGTCTGACAAGCCCCCTACTGAGTCAGAGCTTTAGCTAGCAAGCAAGGACTCGAGGCAGCATCGGCCGCCTGCACCCTAGCGAGCAAGGACTCGAGGCAGCATCGGCCGCCTGCACCCTAGCAAGCAAGGACTCGGGGCAGCTTTGGTCACCTGCACCCTAGCAAGCAAGGACTCGGGGCAGCTTTGGCCGCCTGCACCCTAGCAATAAAAGGACACAGGCAGCTCTAATCGAGTGCATTTGTGCTGTACACATATAAACAAACATTAGCACAATTGTTCACATGTGCACAGTGTAAAATATGGTCCATAAGCAGGACCTCAGACCCAGATGATTCTCCTTCAAGGATCTAAACACAGAGCATGTTTACTGATGTTTACATTCTGTGTGCAAGGATCTATAGAACAAAATATACCAGTGTTTAGACCCAATAAGAAAAACAAAACAAACAACCCCTTGTACTGATAATGCATTTTTTTTTTTCTATGGCCGTGTACATAAGTCAATGAACACATTTTGATGCACCCAGAATGTATTCGTCTGATATACATATAGCTCAGTTGGACTTTACCAATTACTGAGGGCCTGTACACAATAGCCTATCCACTAAATTGCTGCATTTTAGCAGATGGGCTAGTGTGTTATGTAAGCTCCGGATGTGTGCATCCGAGCTATCATTACTTACATTTGGGTAGTGTACAAAGTGTACACTCCATTCGGGCCCCGCACAGCGTGATGCGTTGAGCAGTGGTGGCATCCACTGTGCTGCAAAGCAGTATAGGATGTGTGGGTGAAGTACACTCATATCTAGGTGTACACACCGGGGCCAGCAGTGTATGAAGTGTGTGAGAAATTCACTCATTATTAGGAGTACACACAAGGGTCAGTAGTGTAGGTGAAGTATTCTCTTATATCTGGATGTACACACAATGGTCAGCAGTGTAGGATGTGTATGTGAAGTATTCCCTTATATCTAGATGTACACACAAGGGTCTGCAGAATAGGATGTGTGGGTGAAGTACACTCGTATCTACAGGTGAAACTCGTAATAAATGATCTTTTGCACGATATTCTAATTATTCGAGTTTCACCTGTAGGTGAACACACAGAGGTCAGTAGTGTAGGATGTGTGGGTGAAGTATTCCCTTATATCTAGGTGTACACACAGGGGTCAGCAGTGTAGGATGTGTGGGTAAAGTACACTTGTATCTAGGTGTACTCAGAGCGGTAAGCAGTATAGGATGTGTGGGTAAAGTACACTCGTATCTAGGTGAATACACAGGGGTCAGTAGTGTAGGATGTGTGGGTAAAGTACACTCGTATCTAGGTGAACACACAGGGGTCAGTAGTGTTGGATGTGTGGGTGAAGTATTCCCTTACATCTAGGTGTACACACAGGGGTCAGCAGTATAGGAGAGCTATAGTCTTATATATAGATATATACACACACACACACGTCAGTAGTGTAGGATGTGTGGGTGAAGTATACTCGTATATAGGTGTACACACAAGGGTCAGTAGTGTAGGATGTGTGGGTGAAGTATACTCATATCTAGGTGTACACACAATGGTCAGGAGTCTCGTGAAGTATACTCCTATCTAGGTGTGCACATAAGAGTGATCAGTGAAGGCTCAGCGTGCTGGTGCTGCCACTCACCTGTCACCTATATCTGAGCCCCCTTACAATATAACCCCCCTCCCCGAACTTGTTGCCCCCATGTTCTATGGCGGTATCTCTCCCCAATTCTACTACTCACATGGGCTCCAGTAACTTGGACAGCCACGTCTTGAAGGCCTCCACATTCTCTATCAGCATGACGACGAATGAACCAGGCCTGGGGGGCGTGTGGGAACCGCTATCGTGCCAGCAACGCGATACCAACGCTCATCCTCCCGTCCCCGGCCGCTGTGTCCTTTTCCGGCTACCTACTCCCAGCACTCCGCTAGGAAGACCAGGCTGCTCCTCCTCAACAGCACTTAGCAAGGCCCGAAGCCAAATCAGTGACCCGGCTCTGCTCTAGTATACGGGCCCCGTACAACTTAGCCTAGCAGTAGGGCCTACGATGAGACCGGAAGATAGACAGTTTAGTTTGGCCAATCACGCGCCTGAAAGAGACGTCCAGCGACCAATAGGGACATGATGGGGCGGGACTAGTCGGTACGGTGGCTGGTGGGAGGAGTGGTGATGTAGAGTACTTATGTTGCCGCATGGTGTTTGTAGTATGATGTGTAGTCAACTCAGTACGGTGTGTGCAGAAAATAGTGTACTATTATTAGTATAGTACCGGTACATGGATCAGGACTGTGTAAACGATGTATTATCCGGAGTATGGTGCATGAATCAGTACTGTGAGAGCAGTGTAATATCAGGAGTATGGTACATGGATCAGGACTGTGAGAGCTGTGTATTATCCGGAGTATGGTGCATGGATCAGTACTATGAGAGCTGTGTATTATCCGGAGTATGGTACATGGATCAGGACTGGGAGAGCAGTGTAATATCAGGAGTATGGTGCAAGGACCAGGACTGTGAGAGCAGTGTAATATCAGGAGTATGGTACATGGATCAGGACTGGGAGATCAGTGTAATATCAGGAGTATGGTACATGGATCAGGACTGTGAGAGCAGTGTAATATCAGGAGTATGGTGCAAGGACCAGGACTGTGAGAGCAGTGTAATATCAGGAGTATGGTGCAAGGACCAGGACTGTGAGAGCAGTGTAATATCAGGAGTATGGTGCAAGGACCAGGACTGGGAGATCAGTGTAATATCAGGAGTATGGTACATGGATCAGGACTGGGAGATCAGTGTAATATCAGGAGTATGGTACATGGATCAGGACTGTGAGAGCAGTGTAATATCAGGAGTATGGTGCAAGGACCAGGACTGTGAGAGCAGTGTAATATCAGGAGTATGGTACATGGATCAGGACTGGGAGAGCAGTGTAATATCAGGAGTATGGTGCAAGGACCAGGACTGGGAGATCAGTGTAATATCAGGAGTATGGTACATGGATCAGGACTGGGAGATCAGTGTAATATCAGGAGTATGGTACATGGATCAGGACTGTGAGAGCAGTGTAATATCAGGAGTATGGTGCAAGGACCAGGACTGTGAGAGCAGTGTAATATCAGGAGTATGGTGCAAGGACCAGGACTGGGAGATCAGTGTAATATCAGGAGTATGGTACATGGATCAGGACTGGGAGATCAGTGTAATATCAGGAGTATGGTGCAAGGACCAGGACTGTGAGAGCAGTGTAATATCAGGAGTATGGTACATGGATCAGGACTGTGAGAGCAGTGTAATATCAGGAGTATGGTACATGGATCAGGACTGGGAGATCAGTGTAATATCAGGAGTATGGTACATGGATCAGGACTGTGAGAGCAGTGTAATATCAGGAGTATGGTGCAAGGACCAGGACTGGGGGATCAGTGTAATATTAGGAGTATGGTACATGGATCAGGACTGTGAGAGCTGTGTAATATCAGGAGTATGGTGCAAGGACTAGGACTGTGAAAACAGTGTAATATTAGGAGTATGGTGCTGGGAGCAGGACTGTGCAAACAGTGTATTATCAGGACTATGGTGCATGGATCAGGACTGTGAGATCAGTGTGATATTAGGAGTATGATGCATAGATTGGATGGGAATGTGAGATCAGTGTAATATCAGAAGTACGGTACATGGACCAGGACTGGGAGAGCAGTGTTATGTCAGAAGTATGGTACATGGATCAGGACTGTGAGCTCAATGTAAAATCAGGAGTATGGTGCAATGACCAGGACTATGAAAACAGTGTAATATTAGGAGTATGGTGCTGGGAGCAGGACTGTGAGAGCCTTGTAATATCATCTGTATCAGTGAACAGCACTCTGTGAGAGCAGTATACTGTATGCAGAGCAAGTATAACTCCTTTGGTGAATAGGTGGTATTCTAATTTGAAGAGCAGGGAGAAGAGACTCTAGGACACGGGTAGCCAAACTCCGGCCCTCCAGCTGTGGTGGAACTACAAATCCCATGAGGCATTGCAAGATTCTCAGCCACAGACATGACTCCCGGAGAGATGCATCATGGGATTTGTAGTTTCACCACAGCTGGAGGGCCGGAGTTTGGCTACCCCTGCTCTAGGAGAGCAGTATACAGTATGTAATAACATGGTGCAGATAGTATTAGTATTTAGAATTGCTGAAAACAAGTGTAACATTCAGAGGGTGATTTATAAACCATTTACATAGAGAACACCTATGCAAACACGATTGTAGTGCATTATGCCATCAGAAATTCCTATGTTCCTCGGCAGCCTTTCACAACCTTTGTACACCAGATGAACCCTTGAAATAGTGTTTAGGTCTCAGGGAACTTCTGTTAAAAAGAATTCTAGCTATGACCCATGATACATCATTCACACCACAATCGTGGTCAGCTAAAGGAACCCTTTAAACCGGTGGTTAGTGGAAAGAAACTGATGGTCTTTGAGACAAATGCTCATTACAGTGGTGTGCAGTGTAGTACCCCCATAGTTAGGGGGAAAATAGGAAGAATGTTGCTTACATTGGAAGAGAGTGAGAAAAATTACTCCTTACTGACATCGAACATGAACATGAGAATCAGTGGATACATATGTCTGTGAAGGTTCTCATTCATGAGCCTGATGAAGGGGACCCTGTGTGGCCCCAAAAGCACTTGATATTCTGAGTGACATCTATTAATAAATGGATTTGCACTGACTTGAGAGTCTCGTTGTGCCGGTGACATCCGTATTAAAAGTTGTTCCACGTGCGGCGCCATCCGCGGTCACTTCAAGCACCCATCAATATCTTGGGATTTCCGGTAAGGAGTGCTACAGGATCTACCCGTGTTTCCCCAAAAATAAGACTGTCTTATTTTTTTGCAGGAAGAAAGACACTAGGTCTTATTTTCGGGGGAGGAGTAATCACAGGACTGGACGAGGTCCTGGAAGGCGGCGTGCTGTTGCCAGTCCCGGTGTCGAAATTGGCGGGTTGATATGCCGCTTCCATCGAGCGTGTGGGCGGGACGGGAGCTGCGGCCGGCTGACGTGTGGGCGGGGCGGGAGCTGCGGCCAGTCTTTACATTTAAAATTCAGTTATATGTGTAGCTACCAAAAACAAGACCTAGCGCTATCTTCAGGGATTTCTGTAATATAAGACCTACTCCGAACTAGGTCTTATTTTCGGGGTTGGTCTTATATTACAGAAATCCCTGAAGATAGCGCTAGGTGTTACTTTCGGGGAAACACTGTATGGACATCAGTGAATACATATGTCGCAATATGTCTGTGAAGGTTCTCATTCATCCAGGTCATGTTATATCTGTAAAAAATAAGACAAGGCAACTGGACTTGCTGTATTTTTCTTGAAGACATTTCATAGCATAGAGGAGCCAAACCCTCTGGTCAGGATTCAGCAGTATACCTACATCTAAAGGAAAAAGGTCACTCCTTTGAAGACAGTCAAGTAAGTATCCTATAGAGGGAGGAGGACTGGTTCAAAAGAGGTGTGAAAGAGGCCATTTATGTAAAAATGGAGAAGCCAAGCTTGAATATCGGTGCGGTGTCCTTGTTCATGTAGTGATTCAAAACTTTTTACTCAAGCTTGAATATCGTCTAACACATACAATGCTGTTTTAACCCCTCTCTCTGGGCAGGTAAATAACACCTCCTAGCTCCAATTATGCAAAATCAATCGACACATGGTTTTGACTAACATATTATGGGGATTGGAGCAACATTCACCATATTTATTCCCAGATAATTTTTTTTACAAGTCATTCTGAATTGAGAAAGCTGGTTGGATGGCCAGTGAAAAGTCTTCAAGAAAAATACAGCAAGTTCAGTTGCCTTGACTTATTTTTTTACAGATGTTACATCCAAAGGCTCCAGCTCAAAAGTAAAATAAATCTTATTTTTTCTTATTCGGGAGTTTACAAGAACAGATTTGAAAACTGGGTTATACATAAACAGATGCCTTAATGCAGGGGTAGGCAATTCATTTTCTTGGGGGCCCATATAGGAAATGGGTGGGTGTGCAGGGTCGAACAGATGAACACATGGTACCGTACTGACTGTACGTCGGTGTGGCAGTTGCATTGCCATTCATTTGAATGGCACCTCAAATCCACCTCCTGCCCACAATGGCCAGCGGTCCTAGCACCTTGTAACCAATGACTGCAGAGGAGGACCTCTGATGTTATTATTTGCTAGGACGCCAGCAGTCCTAGCAACCAAGTACTGAAAAGAAATGCGGTACGAACATGGACCTGCGCTGGGCTGTGACTTGCAGTGGATGGCGTGCCGCACAGCTGCAGAACAAGAGCCAGATACGGCCCATAGGCCGTAAAATGCTCAGGTCTGCCCTAAAGCAAACTTGCCACTTTGACTAGGGTAATGTTTATCTCTTCTGATATTGATACTTACCATCCCCACGCTCCACCACTGCCCTTGGATATAAATCCTTGTTTAGGCTCAGTGCTAGAACTTACATAGGGCTAAGGATCTTCACTCCATAACAGCTTCGGGCCTGGTGACTGGCCACTAACACCTCATACACACTGGCAGTGTTAAAGCTGTTTTACAGCATATTTCTAAATGCATGTAGCTGAAGGTATCATTCCAACTTTGTGTTTACCTGCATTCAGTTTGCCTGCGTTTAGAGAAAATTGAATTATGTGCGTCCAGGATGCATTTAGAAGCTCTAAGCGCATGTGAACACACCTAAACACAACTTTAAGCAACCACGTCTGAGGCCTCATTCTCAGACGTGCAGAGCAGTACAGCATGCACCTCTGCCTGGGAGTGATGCTGGCAAACGCCAACCCAAACCTGTATGTCTGCATGCCCCTGGATGATGGCAGTTTGTGTCCAGGGGTGTGCATCCCTACCTGTCCAGATGTACACGCTCAGGTCAGTGTTTACCAGCATGCAGCTGCATCCTGTCATTGTACAGAACGCTGCATACACCAACTGGCATTCCTGGGCGCAGGTTTCTGCACAGAGCTGAACGTCCACATGAATGAGGCTTACACCAGAGAGCTTCGTCACACATTTTTTTCCGCACTGAAACACATGCAAATCAAAATCCCATGTATTCCTATGGGGGCCGTTCACACGAACGCGCTGAATCGCGCATACAAATACACCTGTTGTTTAAAATAGTCCATAAGCTTTTTTTGTGGTGCTTATCTGCTCGTTTTTCTCCATATACTACAATGGAAATAATCGGCGCGTTTTTGTCTTTTTTCGCTGGTTTTTATAGTTGAGACTGCTTTTCATTGGAAAACTGAAAACGAGCCTTAAAACGCTTAGACGCGTGGCACAACATTGCGAATGCAGGCAATGTTTTGACGCGTCCAATCGCACTGCAGGTGAGGGGGGGTGGGGGGCGTGGAAGTGGTGACATTGAATTCAATGCACCCTCCCGTCCCAGGGGGAAGTTTTGTGAGCGATTTTGGTGCGTTCCAGCAGCTACCGCTCTGGAACGCACCGCAATTTGTGTAAACAAGCCCTTATGGCATGTATACAAGAAGGTTTTCCACAAACCATCAGTATATTCAAGTACACAAGATATGTTAAATTGTGCTAGACTTACTAATGGACTAGTTATTTACTTTGATTCGGAACTCTGGGATAAGCAGATATTGTCTAAATACAGGGTATGTGCAGCACAATGATGTCACCACTATTTTTACAAGGTACTATCTGGGTTTACAAAGGCATTGGCACACACAAAGTGGATTATCTCAATATTGGCTGTTAAGGAATATATTAAAATAAGTTTTTGTCAGGAGTTTAGCTTTAAATATAATACAACTGTTATTCAGGGTACACAGCTAGTTAAAGTTTGTATTGGACCACCATTCACCAGATTGCACAGCAAAGCTAAATCGTGCCGATTTATGACCAAGAAAGAACTGGAATAACAATTTAACTGTGCACACATCTGTCACGTGAGTTTCCTATTTACACTGGTATAAGATTTGGGTTGCTATGGGCAGCAGCTCCTGTCAGCCCCACATTTCATTACTCAGCCCCACTGATGAGACTACCATGCCATCATTATACTCTGCAGTCTGCACGCTCTTCCAGATGATAGTTGATATACTCCGCCACGTGACCGTGATGACGTCAAATCCCTGTGCCATCCCGAGAACGCAGTCTTTACTTGTCAATACAACTGATGCAAGCTCCGTCCACGGGCATGCCGGGAGTTGTAGTATAATTTTTGCGTGTGCCCCAATACTGTACTATAGATGAAAACTACAACGACCAGCATGCTGTGCAGGAAGGAGTCTGCTTTCCGCTAGCTAGCCGGGCAACGTGTGAGCGGAGAAGGGAGACCAGCTGCTGCTCTGTGCTTGTTAAGTCATCATGACGGTCAGTGATCCAGTCTGTATTTAGAGGAGGGTGGGGATAGGGATCCATTCATTACATGGGACTGTATGTACACATATGGGCTTCACCAAGGACGATGAATATCTGGTTCCCTGTAGTACAACTCTCCTTATGGAGGATCTGACTGCACCTCTACTCTCTGTTCAAGCTGTCATACATATTACTCTGTTATACATAATCGGCTGTTCCACCGCATCCTTTCATTTGGCTTACAATATAGCTAAATTCAGTTACCAAAATAATCTATGATATTTCACATGCTAGTGTAATTTCAAGTCCTTTCAAATCTGCAGCTTCTTCAGAACATTACCTACTGATCCTACCATTAAGACCCCTATGTTAGCACCTTTTGTTATAGGGTGACAACTGCCTCACAGCTTTTCTCATGTGTTGTCACTAGTGATGAGCCTGGACTTGGTGTAAACCCAGTTCACCTGTGCCTGCTCAAAACCGTCACCGCCATACACCCATTCAAAGGTCCAATCAGTTGTGGCAGAGACATTCTTCCGCCACACAGCTATAAATCGCAAAGGGGTGGGTAAAGCCCCTGATTGGGCCGGAGAGGGGTATGTAACCGTCACAGTGTTGAGTGGGCTTGGGCCTAAGCCCAGGCTCATCTCTACCTGTCACCCTGTCAAGTGCATTGCTGGTGGACACTACAGGCTTCACATGGTCCACCACTGCCGTTATCTGGATGTCAGTCCAATGCAACGATATGCACTCTGTAGATATGAAGTAAAGACTAAAAGAGATCAGCGGTGCATTGTTGTGTGTGTGTGTGTGTGTGTGTGTGTGTGTATATGTCCATCACCAAAAGCACCTGCAATTGGCATAATGAGCATCAGAATTGGACCACAGAGCAATGGAAGGAGGTGGCCTGGTCTGATTAATCACCAGTTGATGACACCAGGATGCACTATGGGAAGAGTGCAAGCCAGCTGAGGCAGTGTGACACGTTGGGCAATGTTGCACTGGGAAACCTTGTGTCCTGCCATTCATGTGGATGTTACTTTTACACATAACACCTACCTAAAGATTGTTGCTGACAAAGTACACACCTTCATGGAAATGGTATTCCCGGATGGCAGTGACCTCTTTCAGCAGGACAATGCGCCCTGCAACACTGCAAAAATTGTTCAAGATTGGTTTGAAGAACACAACAACAAGTTCAAGGTGTTGACTTGGCCTCCAAATTCTCCATATCTCCATCGAAATAAGCCTCTCAAATATTAAGTGGGATGCCTGATTTTGGTTCTAACTCCTCAACACTCCTATCCAAAAGTTAAGAGTTTTAACTATAGATACAATATAAAAGAATAGATCACTTCTCTGTCCATATTTCATGTTACAACCATATTTAGGATGTAACATGGTTACATGTCCATAAATCCTCTCACAGGATCTGTGAATGAAACAACTACAAGTTCCATTAGTCACTGCAGCAGAGGGATTTGTAGTTTTTAATGAAGCACAAGTAGGGTGATGTCACCACATTTATAGTTCATTTAAACTTCCTCCAACTCCATAGCAAAAGCTCCATATGGACCTGGAATAACAGTCTGCAGCAGCCTGTGCATTGCACCCTCCAAGGACTGAATGCAAAAAAATAATAAATGCACATTTTTTTTTTCTTTCACCAGTGTGGGTGCATTTATTTTTTTGTTTCAAAATGTGAACTGTGCTTTCAACTGGTTTCCTATACAGTTGAAATATGGACTGTTGGAAAGTATTGGAGATGTTCAAAATCTCTTCTGTGAAATTGATGTCACTTTCTTCTTCTAAATCAAGGATGGCCAAACTCCAGCCCTCCAGCTGTAGTGGAACTACAAATCCCATGTGGCATTGCAGGATTCTCAGCCACAGACATGACTCCCAGACATAGATGCATTATGGAATTTGTAGTTTCCCCACAGCTAGAGGGCTGGAGTTTGCCCAAGGCTGTTCTGAAGTATATATAAATATAACAGTTGTTATGTTTTCCTTGTGCTGGCAGTTTGAGATACTGGATGCT